GGTTTCTTTAAAAAGTATAAAAGATAGGCCAGGATACACAGAAGAACCGGAGTTGTCATAGGTACGATTGGCAAATGAGCCTTTAATACCGGGCAGCCTGAGAAACAAAAGGGAGTGCTGGGGACAGAGGAGATGTGTGTTAGGAAAGTACAGACTTTGACAGGCATCGGAGACCTTTCAGGTGAACTAACGGCACGCGGAGGTTCGGAAGTGACTCATGTCCCGCAGCGCGGCACTTCAGAGCCAACAGAACTCCTGACGACACTGTGTGCAAGTCATGTGGCTGCAGCCCCCATCTTTCTGTCGGGAGAAGAAAACGCACAGACTGGCTAGGAGGAGGGCTGGCTGCGGGGGGGGAGAGAGTTGTGCAAAGGATAGCAAGTTTATAAAATCGCGTATAAGAGCATCCACCCAAAGGCATGGAAGGAGGGGAAGACAGACAAAGATTGTCAAATAAATCGGGGGTGGGAGAATGGACAAGGACAGGGAGGACCACAAGGTAAGTTTTTCTTTCTCCACAGTTCACTGCCTTTACCAAAGTGCCCGTACGCCAATTTTGGGTCGTCGTCTAGGACCGAGAGACAAAGCTGACAGAAGTTCTTCCTGCAACCGGTGCAATACACTCGGTGACAGCCAGTAGTTTTCTGCCACACAGACGGCGAGCGAGCAAAGGGGAGGGGCGAAGTGGAGGGTGGGGGAGAAAAGACATCATGGCGGCATCAGGCAGACAGACAGAGGAGAATGAAACAAACAGCAGTCAGCCGAATGGAACCTGCTGTCGCAAGGGAAAGTGGGAATTCTGACAAAACGGTGCGAAATATTGTGTACAATATGGTTTACCAGTGAAAATGCTGCTCATACGCTCATGAACAGACATATAGAAGCAGATAAATCTGCTTTCAAATAAACTGTTCGTCCCGTTTTGCCTTGGAACTCAGTCTAGAGCCCTCGAAGGCAGCGAATTCTAATGTATGATGAAGTAGAGCCGACAGAGATGAAAGAGGCCAGAATGGTCATGTCTAGCTTTTCAGCCGTCATCAGCCCGTCATATCCAATCCCAAGCTTGGATCACAAGGGATTCGAACCCATAAACTTTGGTCATTGAATGCAACACTCTGCCATTGCTGCACGGGCTCGTTGTTTCTGCTGGTTGCGATCGGAATTATGATGATAGACGAGGGCGCCCGATCTGTTAAAGGAACAAGAATATCTATTTCTGCTCCGGAGCTTACTATAGAGCGCGCACAGACAGTCGCACAGCCACTGGTGGAATGTGTTGAAGTAGAACCGACGAAGGCAGAAGAGACCAGCATTGCCATTTTTGCCTATTTAATTAGCGGCATTGCGGCATGGCTCGAGAGTGAGCCCCAAAGACACCAGGTGGGACGAGTGTGACCTGTAAGTAATCGATGTGCACTTACCTGCCACTATATGTACAGAATATATACACCAGAAAACCCTATACAGAAACTTGGCAGGGACCGCAAAAGAAGGATGAAATAAAAAGAAGTCAGGCGGATATAAACTGATACCACAAGGACCGGCTGGGGATTCTTAAAAAACAATGCGAAATATTACGTATAGTAAAATTTATCAACCAGAAAGCAAACTTGGAAAGCTCGAAGACCAACTGATGAGCCTTCTTCCTCGCAGCTGTGTCAAACAGTGGCAGAATATCAGCGAAAATCGTGTGTGAGCACTTTAGCTAGTTTATGGGCTGTTGCTATGGTAAGTTACAACATCAATATATGCTTCGACTGACGGAGTTCGGCTTAAATATACGCATCAAACTTCGGTCTATGCCTACTTACATTAAACATGGTGATGTATTCCGCGAACAGAAATAAATTTGTAAAGAAAGTAAGAAGCTGAACTATGGTAAAGTTAACCAATAAATGCACTGACTACGCGCTATGCGGCCTGTCGAAGCCCCTCTATCGCTAGACAGAGTGATGCAATTACACAAACCTGCTTCCGACTGGCTGTGAAAAGCAAAGCAACACGGTGGTGGCATACGCCCTGCACTGGCCCGGGGGTTGAAAACGATCGACTGTGTCATGTGATTGCCATCAGTCAGTACGCGTGGGGTGCTGACGAATCAAATATTTTACATTCCATATCTAATCATCGGACGATCACTATTGGGGACACGAAGTACACATAAACAAAACTCTTGTGTGGATATGACTGTTAATGTCAGAAATTACAGACTTGCGTTTACTGACAAACGCTTGCGCGCCGACATATATACAGTGATGAGGTGGAACCGATAAAGACAACACAGACCGAAATGGCTATTCCTGGTGTTTTGGCTATCATCAGCCGGTCATACCCAATAACACGTGTACGTCATTCGATATTCGATCCTACAACCTCTTATTCCTGGAGTCTAACAAACCGTCATTGAGCCCTGAGCCCTTATTCTGGTGGGTTGTGATCGGGAATATTATTATGATGACGAGAGGGATGATGAGTATGTGAATCATCGCTGTGGTTACGGAACATTTATGTTTCTTTGTGCGTTGAAGTTTACTTTAGAGCCCTCGCAAGCAGTCAAATAGCGGATTGTAAGAGAATTCCCGCTAGCATCCGAAAAACAACGGCCACATGGCTTAATTGTAGTATTGCATTCGATGAACAAAAGCTCAGGAGATCGAATCTCGGTGATCCAAATTTAGGACTCGACATGACTATCTAATAGCGGTTAATATGCCAGAAATTGCCATTCCGGTCTCCCTTGACTGACTTCAATCATCAACGGGTATCGACTACACCCGACGTGGATGTGGATAGTTTAGTTTGGTTGTCGAATTGATCGCTGCCCAACGAATTTTGAGCAGCCGAAGGATCCCTTTTAGATCAATCGGAAAGCCTCTACAGCATCTACGCGATCATATGATGATCAGATTATCGACCTC